GTTGGAGTGGGGGGGCTGGGAGGTCCCTTCCAACCCAAATTATTTGTGATTCTCTAATCCCTGAAGCAGGACAGAAGGGTTTCACCTCACACAGGCAAGTAAAGGAGCAGCGACTGCAGGGATTTGTAGGACCTGGTGACCATCACAGATGTGGGCACAGCAGGGAGGGCGCATTCCTCACATTGGGTCAGTGTGTGAAGAGTGGGGGACACAACACCTGCATGTGACCTCCTCCTCCTCTTCCAGAGAGAGCTCTCCCAACCTCAAAGCCCTGTTTGACTTCGTCCGCACGTCCCTGACTCCCACTGATGGCGACTCCTGGAAGGCCCCAGTGCTGCTGGTGGACGACCTCGGTGTCCTGCTCAGCCTGGGTGCCGCACCGGTGGCCGTGCTGGACTTCATCCACTACTGCAGGGTTGCGGTGTGCTACCAGCTGAAGGTAACAGCTCCCTTTGCTATGCGTTCAAAACTGCCTCTGGAGCAAAGCTTGGCTCGATTTCCTTTTTCTGTCACTGCACTGTGGGGTTTTGGTGGAATTCGGCTGTTGAGGAAATTCAGATCATTGCTCTTGGAGAGATGTGTCAGACACTGGAGCTATGTTAGCCCCTTTGCAACTGGTTTCCTGAGAAATCCTGACCAGAAAAGGGCTCTCTCTGTCCCTAATGTGTTGAGCAGAGCTCCAAAGTGTAAAATACTGCTTTTTAGAGCTGCCGGTTCTCCCGAGATCTCAACTCACACCCGCGTCACAGCGAAAAATGGTTCCAGTCACATCCATCCTTTGCTATTTAGCTGCAGCGTCCCTCACCCCGGCCACTTCTCTCTCTGCTTGAGTGAGAAATAAAGTAGACGGTGTCGGGTTTTTGTCATCCTGCACTTCATGTGGTGCCAGGGTGTTTGTGCTGTGAATGCTGACAGGGGATGTTCTGCTCGCTGGGAATATTTACCTCCAAAACAGCTAAAAAAGAAGATAAATCACACTAACACGGTTCTATTTCTGTCTGAGACGTTCTGAGGCTTTAAAGTACATTTTAATCGATTGGGAGTTTTGTGTGGTTTGAAGTCCTTGCTGACCTGCATGAGCTGAGGCAGAGACTCTTGGGATGTATTTTTATAGAGTGGGGTGTTGAGTTTGGGAGCTGTTTGCTCCTTGTGGGAGCTGCAGAGGTTCGAGCATCGCAGCTCTGGCTGCAGCCGTTCGGCCACATCATTATTTAACTGCTCTGAATTCATTTGGAGCTGCCGTTTGCGTGGCCTGACAGGCTGGTTTCACTGGGCAGCTGTCTCGAAACAAAGGCTTGGTGTATTTTTAGGCTGCGCGTTACGTTTATGTGTGTGTGTTTCTATAGACAAAATATACACAGGAAGCCGTTTCAGAGCTTTATATGTGTTTATCTTCCCAGTGGACGTTAGCTCAGGACCAGCTGCCGTGCTGGGGATGTGTAAGTAGCTGAGTTAGCAGGGAATTGGTGTGTGTGTCACCCATACGAGGAGCAGAAAAACCTCTTAACACCAAAGTAGCATTAAGAAGCAGGCGTTTTTTATTCGACATCAGGTGCAAGGGGCATCATTTATTCCATCCAAGCTCGCACCCGATGTTCCTGTCTCCCCTTCCTTACCCTGAGTGAATTAGGGACTCACCTTGTGCCCAATGCTCTCATTCCAGGGCAACGTCGTGGTGCTGGTTCACAGCAACGAGGATTCAGAAGATGAGGAAAACGAACTGATTGTGAACTCCCTGTGTCATCACAGCAACCTGATCCTGTGGGTAGAGGGGCTGGCAACCGGCTTCTGCAAGGATGTTCACGGCCAGGTAACGCACGGAGAGGTGACACAGGTTAATGTCACACACTTTAATGTCACATAGCACTGCCTGCAGGGCCAGGGGTAGATGACACACGCTCCTCTGCCCTGTGGGAGGTGGCCCAGGACCAGCCTGGCCTGCAGCATGGGTAAGGAGTAGCGAGCAGGTCACTGGGATCTGCTGGAGCACCCAGCTGTGACTCTGCCTCTGCAGGGATGCTTGGGGACCTCCTGCAGCCTGGGGACTCCCCCGTCTCCCTGGAAGCTGGAAGGGGTTTATAGGGCAGCTGCAGTGCAGGCTGTGCCCTGTCCCAGGGTGATGGCAGGGGGATATTTAGTTAAAATCATGGTTTGGGTGGAAAAGGACCTTAAAGATCACCCCCCGCCATGGGCAGGGACACCTCCACCAGCCCAGGCTGCTCCAAGCCCCGGCCAACCTGGCCTTGGCCACTGCCAGGGAGGGGGCACCCACAGCTTCTCTGGACAACCTGGGTCAGGGCCTCACCACCCTCACACTCAACAATTTCTGCCCAATATCTCATCTAAATCTCCCCTCTTTCAGTTTCAAACCATCACTCCTTGTCCTATCACTACAAGTTCCTGGGAAGCTTCCCAAAACTGTCCCAGCCTGGGATCTCTTCTGGGCTGGGAGGGCAGCTGGGTCACAGAGACTTGGTTACTGCGTGGTCCCTCGTCAGGGGCTGCCACCAAAGGGACTGGTTATGGCCGTGTGATGGTTTTTTATCAGTGATTCCCCTCCCTGCAGCCCAGCAAGGGGCTGGGGGGGGTGAGGATGCTGCGAGTGGAGCAGCCAAAGGGACGATAATCCTCTTCCTTTGCAGATTACAATAATTAAGAGATTATCCCTGGAGCTGACAGGGGAGCAGGATCACATCCAAATCTACCAGTACAAGATCCAGGACAAGAACGTCACCTTTTTTGCTAGAGGGCTGTCAGCTGCCGTCCTGTGACGCTGCGACACCGAGACCGGGGACGCCGGTACGTGCCACCAAACCAGCCCAGCCGCTTCACCGGCGCAGCAAACCGACCCGCAGGGAAGCTTAAAACGCGCGTTGAGCTGCATCCCAACGAGGGGATCAGCCTGCCCAGAGCTCCCCACATCCCGTTGTCCTCCCACCCCGTTCCCAACGTGCGCAGGCCAAGAGGAAGAGCGAAAACTTGCAGGAACAGCCCTCGGAGCGTGTCGATACAGGCAGGGGGTGCCCGGCGGGCTGGGTGTGTGCCGTACCTTTTCCAGTGCGTTCTGGCGTGGCAGTGCCAGGCCGGGCTGTGTGGAGGGATCACCCCACCCTCCCGCTGGCGTTTGAGGAGGTGACGCAGCGCGGGCGGAGACAGGGATGGTTTGGGAGCGTGTTGCAATTCGTGCCTTTCTCCCAGCGCCGGCATGGGAGGAATTTGCTCGACTCCCAGCGTCCACACGATTAAAAAATCTATAGCTGCGTGTGTAGCTCCTCACCTTGCTGCTGTAACACCTAAACGCTGCCTTGCTTTATTGAATTCTTGCTTTGTTTTGTTATTTTTCTCTCTTCTCATGTGAAACCTCCTTGTCCCTGGGTGTATTTAGGGTGTGATTTCCCAAGCTTGCCCTTGGTTTTGGGTGACAGATGCTTGCACAGGACCCTCTGTCCCAGCCACTGCCTCCCAGTCCCAAATCATCACTAACACTGATGTAACCTGCCTGTGTTGAAGCATCATCATCATCATCATCATCACTATTATTACTGTTATTATTGAAAGCTTTCCAGTACCTGAAGGGACTCCAGGAAAGCTGGAGAGAGATTTTTGACAAGGGATGGAGTGATGGGACCAGGGGTGATGGCTTTAAACTGGAAACTTTTATCACCAGCCTGATTCTATGATTATTGGGGGCTAATAATCACTAATTTTAATTAGAGAAGGGTACAGTCGTTAAGTAACTGTGGATCTTTGTATGGGAACCTCTTGCCACAGGCTACTTGGGCAGAGGGAGAGAAATGGGCTTCTCCTGAGCCTGGGTTTTGGGTCTCCCTTTCTCTCCATGGACACAGAGGGAGTCCCAGGAGCAGAACTCAGACCTGGAGGTCTCCTGGTAGATGCTGCAGCTGGAGCAGGAGATAAATACACCCCCACCTGCTTCTGGGAGCCGAGAGCGACCTGCAGGCTGCTTAAAATACACCTGTAATGTGCATATAACGATGGGTAATTGCAGTAATAGCTCTGTGATGAGCTTCCTCTTGGCGAGATCCCAGCATCTCCCTGCTCCAAGGCTCTGCCTCCCTCCTCCAAACCCGGCAGGGTGACCGTGTGACATCGCTGGTGGCTTTTGCCCTGTTCTTGCTGCGCTCGACCGCTGTCTGGACCCAAGAAGAAACCAGAGACTGCCCTGGGCTTGGAGTCAGCGCATCTCCAGGTGTGTGGGGCGCAGCACCCCGACCCCCGTGTCCCCAAGCAGGGAGACATTTCCCCAGGACCCAAGGCCTCTCCGAATCGACCACGCTCTGCTCCCAGTGTGCACCAGTGAGGGCTGGGACAGGCAGCATCTGGGAGATGCCTCCTGGAGAAAGGGAGGTGAAACCTGTGGTGGCTTCTGGTTCACGACGACGACCAAACCGAGCATTTCTTCCATCCAGAGGTGACATTTGCAACCAGGACGTGAACACCGGAGGCTGATCCAGCTGCTCTGCTGAGCCAAGGCCACCCAGCAACGGCCACAACCGAACTGAGACCTTGCTGCGGCGCTGACGCTGCAGAGATAGGGAGGGATGTGATTGATGGCAGAACGGGGCGGCCTTGTGCAGGGTCAGCCAACATCTGCGTGCCAGGGCCAACCGCTACGCACGGCTCTTTGTGTGCGAGCCAGGGCTTGTGCAATGCTGCACCTCGACTGATAACGCAGGTGGGACATGGCCCCAGGGCTCTGGGCTGCGTTCCCTCGGCCTTGGCTGGGCAGCAACCGCGTAAAGGCCCCACCAAGGGCTGGTGGGACAGGGGTGAAGGTTGTCCAGGGTTTCAGGTGTGATGTCCCTTGTCCTGTTGCTGGGCACAACTGAGGAGTCTGCTCCCATCCTCCTGACCCCCACCCTTGAGGTATTTCTAAGCATTAATGAGAACCCCCCTCAGTCTCCTCCAGCTGAACAGCCCCAGCTCTCTCAGCCTTTCCTCCTATGGGAGATGCTCCAGTCCCCATCATCTCAGTGGCTCCACACTGAGCTCTCTCCAGTCGCTCCTTGTCCTTGAACTGGGGAGCCCAGAACTGGACCCAGTTTTCCAGCTGTGGGCTCCCCAGGGCAGAGCAGAGGAGGAGGAGAACTCCCCTGGGGCAACTGCCCACCCTCTTCTTAATGCCCCCAGGATGGCGTTGGCTTTATTTGCCAATAAAATTAAAAAAATAGCTAATGTTAACAACTTGGATGCCACAGGGTAAACCCTGATCCTGCAGCCATCCCACCCCATACCAGAGTTGCACAGGCAGGAGTAGCATGGACATTCCTGGGGTAAAGAAGAGATCCCTCAGCCCCTGGGTACCACCTGCCC